TTGGCATGTACACTGCCTTCCCCAGGGCGCAATAATCAGGGCTGATAAACAGCAAAGGGAGCTTGAAACCAGTTGTTCAGTATCATTGACCTATAATCCACTTCTGATATTTCCCTTATAAGATTCTCTTTTTTACTTAGTGTGTGTGTGTATTAATTTATTTAATCCCTGTTCATTTAGTAAATGTACAATAAAATCAGAGTTGGGTTTAGATAGTAAACTTTTTAAATTAATGAAACTAAGAATCATGGAATTGGTCCAAGTCAGGAATAAAGCATAAATTCTATTTATTTATGCTTTTACCTATTGGTATTGGTCATAATTTCTGCAGTGTCACTCTATAGATCCCATTAAATTATATCCAAATATTTAAGCTGTTTTTGCTGTTTATTTTTTAACCCATGTATCTGATTATAAATAATTTTCTATTTGAATGCATTTATTTTCAATTCTTTTTAAAAATATAAGTTGTCTGATGCTTTGAGGAGCAGCCAATGGCATGCACGCCTATAATTTGCTGTCCAAAAACACTTGTGAGCATGAAAGTGGGCACTATTAATAATTGTCCCTGGACAACAGGCTTAATTGGAGTAGAACTGTCCCCTGCCAACTGGGGACATATCCTCAAGTATGTATCTTATCACTTACCCTGTTGCCTAAAATTTCTATCATTGCAGTATTGTTTCAAATTTAAAGATTGTGACTTTAGGAATCTTCTTTCTGAATAGAGCTATATTACATGGGAATATTAATATATTAACCTACCATTACCCACTAACAATTTAGTGAAAGTAACTGATATGTTCTAGTAATGGCTCTACACCAGAGAAGTTGGCAAACTTTTAAAAATAAATGTCTGGCTACTAAACATTTTAGGCTTTGTGGCCCGTATGATCTCAATTGCAACTATTCACCCTACTGTTGGAGTAGAAAACAGCCACAGACAATACTTAAATTAATGAGTATGACTTTGTTACAATGAAACTTTATGAATAAAAACAGGTGGTGGGCCAGATTTGGCCCATGGGCCATCCTTTGTCCACTCCTGCTTTTGAGGACTGAGAGGCTGGCAGATGAATTTACCTCTCAGAATTATGTTACTTCTCAACTGTTCGTCTTGCGGCCCTCATCATTGACTAATCCCCACAAGTATGTTGCCATGCTGAATAATCTGGTGACTCAGGGTCAGCTTGGCCGTGAACCTAACCTCAGGTTGCCTCCAAGTCAGAGAATCTGTAAGATTTAATCAGCAGCCCTGGGTTCCTGAATATATGGTTCAGACTTGGATTTATGTGACAGTCTGAGATCCACTCTAGAATGGACCTGAAGTTCTTTAAAAGTCAGATGGGCTGGATACAGACTAATTTTACATGCACATAGAACCAAGACTGATGTCTCAACACTTCCTTGATCTTACCTGGCTTTGAGTCGGCAGGGGGCGTTTGCTCACAGTTTCACTCCTCAGTTTATATTCTGTCACTCCTTTGATGAGACTCAGGCCTGCTTCTCTTTTATTCTTATATTGCTTGGATCAGTTGTAGGCCTTTACATGTTTTATTTCTCTTTCCCACCATTCCAAATTCCATTCCCATGTCTTTACATCGTACACTTCTACACAATGTAATGGCCCATAACCTAATAGCTTTGTTCAACTGTAGTTAGTTTTATGGATCAGATTTATGTTATTTTATGTACAAAAGTATTTTTATACACACTTATACATTTTTCAAGTATGTATGTACTTCATCTTATCTTCATACTTCTAATAGACTCACTACCAAAATGACTTAAAACACTTTTGAGCAAAAATACAAAAATTCCTAATAAACAAATATTTTTGAGTACCTGCTATATGCTAAACATATAACAGAATGAATGGCAAATTTTCAAATAAAAAAAGGAAAAACAGCAGATTTTGTAAGCAAAACCAAACCAACAAATACAAAACCAAATTTTGCTGCATAAAGATAAGGCTTTGAAGCTAAAGCTTTGCTTGGAGTTTCCTAACAGCCAAGGTAAAAGAAAAAAAATTACAGGTTTTATAATTTTCTTGGTCTGGTAAAAGGAATCACATCAGCTGATGAAGAATTTTTTTCTGACCCTGAACTTTAAATTTTTCTTCTTTAAAATGGTATCATGTCCAAAAAATTTGCTGTTGCAATAACACTTGCTGTTGCTTATTAAAGAGTGAGAGTGGGATCATTAGAGCTGTGGAATCAGAACAACATGGTTCAAATCCCAGTTCTGCAATGTCCTGTTTGCACGGCTTCCAGCAAACCACTTAACCCCCTAAGCCTTAATTTGCTGTCAGTAAAATGAGGATGATATCTGCCTTCTGGGATGTTGTAAGCATTGATACATACATAAAAGATTGATTATAATGAGTGCAAAATCCATCATTTGCAGGAAAATGGCCTCTCTATGTGGCTTGGCTCTTTTTCAGCATAGTGACCTCAGGGTAGTTGCACTTCTTGCATGGCGACCAAGGGTTCCAGGCACACATATTTCATCAGGCAAGGCAGAAGCTGTGTTGCCTCTTACAACAACCCTGGAAGGCATGTAGCATCTCTTCCGTATGCTCTATTGGTTGAAGCTTTCAGAAGCCCACCAGTTTTAAGGAGAGGGGACAAAGAGCCTACCACTTGGTAGGAAGGTGGCAGGGTCATATTGAAGAGAAGAATATGGGATAGCAGATATTGTTGTGACCATCTTTGGAAAATAAAATTTTCCACAATGAGTGATTCTGTACAGGCTTAATTCATATTACAATATGAAATGAAATATGTTCTATGGTTGTCAAGGATATTTCCTTGAGTAGAGCTATTGTCATTGCCCTACATTCACCTAGTCACATGCAATTTTCTTTGTAATGAGCCTTTTTTTTCCTTTCTATTTTTTCCCCAATGTTGCATTTGCCTAGCTTGAGTTCATTACCTCGGTGATAAAGCTGTTTTAATATTTAATCTATTCCTAGTTTCCAAATCATTTTCTCAGGCGCCCATCAATTCCTTATAAATGGTTAATTTGAGAGGCTTTTGAAGCATGACTGCATATGGCTAAGGCAAATCTGAATGTCAACCTTGGAAGCATTCTATGACATTCAGATGGACTCCTTTCACTATAGAGGACTTGTTTTTCTATCATGTGATATATCTTGTCAAAAGAGAATATTGGGGCTCAGAAAAAGGTACTTCAAAGCATGGTGCCTTGGGATACTGAGCACGTTGATCTAAAGGAAATTAAAAGGCTTTAGACTTGAGTCCCCTCAGAATCAAGAACTTTGTGAGCTTTTATTGTTCCTCCTCTCAAGTACAAGATGGAACTCTCTTCCATCTCCTCCCTGACATTTTATCAACTAGAGAATATTATCTCATATCACAGGAAGGAAGACTGAGGAATGTCCCCATGCCCAGACAGACTTTTCATCTGTTCTCCTCAAGACACTCTGAGAGATTACCTGGAGACTTTATCTGCACAATAAGATAAACTTTGGCCAGATGCAGTGGCTCACACCTGTAATCCCAGCACTTTGAGAAGCCAAGGCAGGTGGATCACCTGGAGTCAGTAGTTCAAGACCAACCTGGCCAACATGGTGAAACCCCGTCTCTACTAAAAATACAAAAATTAGCTAGGTATGGTGGTGTACCCCTGTAATACCAGCTACTGGGAGAATTACTTGAACCCAGGAGGTGGGGGTCAAGATCAGGCCACTGCACTCCAGCCTGTGTGATAGATCAAGAACATTCCCTCCATCCCCCCTGCCAAAGAAGATAACTTTGGTTCACAATGAAATTCTACCCCTTACCTTCCTGCCACCTCCTCCAGAGCTCAAAGAAACTTTGTCCCTGGTCATTGTTTTTTGGGCTCATCTAATTCCTCTGAAAATTTTTCCTGCCCTTCAAAATTGCCTACATCCCCCATCCATCTCCCCTGTAAAGAGGGTGCAATTTAAGCTTCAGCCATCTGGCTCTTCTTTGAGTCTCATATTTTATATGGCTTCTGTGCTTCTGCACATTAGTAAATTTGTATGCTTGTTCTCCTGTTAATCTGTCTATTGTCCGTTTATTTCAGCAAAACTCAGAGGGTAGAAGGAAAAGTTTCCCTCCACCCCTACAAGGGCCAGAAATAGTGCCTTTCTCACTCAACATTTGTAGTGTTGTTGAAAGAGCTAGCACTCTAGTGTCAGTGAGAATTCCGTTCATGCCAGTTGTCTTATTTAATTGTGTAAAACTGAGTACGTTTCTTAAAAAAAATAGCGGTTAGTTTCCTCATCTATAGGCTGAGTATAAAAACCTCTACTTTACAGAGTTATAATAAAGAAATAATTAAAGAAGCTTCTGCTGTAGGACCTAGTTTACAGCGTAAACTCAATGTTAGCTAGTAACAAGAAAAGCTACATTGACATTTTCTGTTCCCATAAATTCCCTCTCAACATAAGCCTTGATCAGCTCTTGCACTGATAGGCTAGTGTCACTGGAGAGGTGAGAGATGAAGCATCCACATAAGAGTGATTATTGAAGAAGGTGGCTTCCTCTTCTTTACCTTTTAGGTGGTGGCACCACAAAGTTCACCTGAGAACAAGGATGAGCCAAGCTTAATGATGAGCTAACTCCTGGACCCTGGGGTTGACAGAGGGCATCTTCTTTGAGGGGTGTTCTGTCCTTACGTGGGTCTCTATTGATGTTGATTGGGTTTTTATTTAAGTATTCAAAGGAGATTTTCCTTTATCTGACCTCCATAGCTCATTGTACCCCTAATTGTAAAAATATGTACATGTTTAGTGAAATGTATTAAAACTTTGACAGTGTTTGCTTTGTAAGAAATAAGATACAAAAAGTAGGATGGATACACCTCTACTTTGCCTTGGAAGTTCTCCATTTAAAATCTCTCTTTAATCTCCAATTATTATAATCATTATAAAGATGAAAATGTTTATTACATTATTTTAAACTTCAATAAAGCTTTAATTGACCTGGATGTATTATCTTTCCATGCAACAGGTGGTGAAATTTACCAAGTCCTTTGAATTGATGTCCCCTAAGTGCAGTGCTGATGCAGAGAACAGGTAGGGCTTGTGGGGTTCATGTTTGTCTTTTGATGTTCTTTGGTCCTTGGTGTTAGCAGCATTGCATAATTCTTAGAAGATAGTAGTAGTTCTTTTTGTTAGCAAGTACAACCAAATATCACTCTTCTGTATTTCAGGGCTTAAATCAAAACTATAGCTCAAAAATAAATGTGTATATATTTAGTTTGCAGTCAGTTTTTAGGGCCAAATTTTAGTACTTGTAATAGGATTAAAATATTGCCTTGAGCCTATAGTCTTCTTTTCCCTGAACTTTGTAAATTTTGTTTGTTTGTTTTGTTTTTTAAGATGGAGTCTCGCTTTGTTGCCCAGGCTGGAATGCAGTGGCATGATCTTGGCTCACTGCAGCCTCTGCCTCCTGGATTCAAGTGATTCTCCTGCCTCAGCCTCCTGAGTAACTAGAATTACTGGGGTGTCCATACCTGGCTAATTTTTGTATTTTTAGTAGAGACAAGGTTTCACCATGTTGGCCAGGCTGGTCTTGAACTCCTGACCTCAAGTGATCTGCCTGTCTTGGCTCCCAAAGTGCTGGCATTGCAGGTGTGAGCCACTGCACCCAGCCACCTTGTAAGGTTTTGAAATAAATCTTAAGATATTCTGCCGACTCCTGAACTTCAAATCCAAGTCATTTAGGTAAGTTAATATGGAATAGTACTGGAACAAACCTATTTTCTTTAAGCCAACAGTTTCCATTTCTCTTCACATCACATATTTGACTAAATCTTTTAATAAATAAAGGAAAATTTTGGATAGATCCTAGCTGTATGGACTGCCTAATTTTCTGCTTTATTTTGGCCCTTTGTTTCTCTTCCTCCCTTTTGTCTGCCCATATTTGGCCAATAACATCCTTTTGGAAAAATGACTGAAGGTTTTCAGTAATTTGCTTTTTGTTTTGACTGGCGTCTTTGAGGCTGTAACAGGGTAGAAGTGAAGATTGCAAGCAATCAGTGAATTTCTCTTAGCTTTTTACTGCCTTGAATAAGAGCCATGTTGCTGCAAAAATTCCCTTTGGTTGCTCCCTCCAGAGGAAGTGTTAATAAATAGTGAAATTAACCAAAATGCAGACATGGAGAAAGAATTGTAAAGTACTCAGGGCAGTATGATGATGATCACAATGACGATGACATTGGTACTAAAATATATGCAACTTCGATTTTTCTTAATGCTAGGTGTTCCATGTAGTATGCTAAATGATTCATAAGCATTTAATCCCCAAAACAATCTTCTGAAGTAGGTGTTCCCCACATGTGACAAAGGAGAAAACCAAGGTTCGTCAAGTTTAAGTAACTTGTTTGAGGCCCCACAGCCACTAAGTAGTAGCCACCAAGGACAAGATCACCTAGCTAAGACTCTTCAGAACTCTGAAGTTTGATTCCATAGCTACACATCATTTAAAATCTGGTAGTTGATCTCATCTGGTGAATACCTATTGGGTTAATGCTTCCCAAATCTAATGGGTCAATAAGAATCAGGCTTAGACAAGTTAGTAGAAACTAAATTCTCAGGACCCACGCTGAGAGATTCTGATTCAGTACTTCGGAAGTGAAGTCCTAAAGGTCTATATGATCTAAAGGCCCTCTGGGTAATACCTATTTCAAGATGTCATAGTTAAGAGCAATTTGATTTTTATATCTATCATTACCTTTAAATTAAAAAAATAGGAACAAGTAAATAAAAAGTAAATTACTTTTTATCAAGTGCATGAAGTTTAAAAGCTGCCTTTGCTACATACTATATAACTCCATTTACAGGGCATTCTTAAGACGTCAAAATTATAGGAAAAGAAAGCAAATCCGTAGTTTCCAGGGGCAGGAGATGGAGAGAGGGGTTGACTTCAAAGGGGTAGAGGGTTGTGATGGAACCATTCTGTATCTTGCTTGCAGTGGTGATTATACAACTATATTTGTCAAAACTTGCAGCAATCTACCCAAAAAAGGGTGAATTTTACTGTCTGTAAATAATACCTTAAAATGGAAATTGAAATGGCAAAAAGAGGTCTTTGGTAAGAGGTTTTATATTCATAAAAATGAATTTTATGTTCACATCTATGTCTGTGTTCACATCTATATCTTTTGACCCTTTGTTTCTTTTCCTCCCTCTTGTTTGTTCATATTTATGTTCACATTCATATCTCATACCAGCTAATCTATATGTAACAAAGATATTTAAGCGTAAAAAGTTACTAGTGGTATATTTGGCAATTTTCCTGAATTGTTGTGAAACAACGTGAAATACAATAGAAAAATATCTATTCATGCCGATTTATTTAGCTATTCATTACCGCATATAAGTTCTGTCTCTCATATATGAGAAAGCAAAGCTTTATTGAGTTACTAAAACACTTTGAAGTCCTAATGCTTCAATATTGTTATTTTTTATGCTGCTGAACATGTTCTCATGGTCACTTCATAGTTAAATACTTCTTTTTTTTATTATTATTTTTAATGCTGAGAGAACTTCCATGTCAAAATGAAATGACCAAAGACCTAGACTGCCCTTGGCAAACTTTCTGCTAATAAAAGAAAGAAAGGTCAGGTTTTCTTTAAAGAGACATTTGAAAAGTGCCTTTGAACTTTGACATTATGAGGTAGTCTTATTCATCATTCTATTTATGGCTTTTAAGTTAATGTAGAATGATCATTTATCTCAGAAGACCTTTCCATCATTGTCCAGTAATTTTCCTTTTGTAGAAGATGTGGGTTCCTTCAGTCATTTATTGGAAGTTAAAGGAACCAAGACCAGTGACTCCAGAATTTACTTCACCAGTGACATGGAAAGGACATTGAGATGGGCTATGAGTCTACAAATCACAGCCTGATCGCACAGCCTGATCTTTCCTTTAACCTTTCATCATTTAACATTTTAGATATAGATGATGTCTATTCTGTTAGATACTTCAGTCCTCTGAACATCAGTCAGAGTTATAATAGTGTAGTTTTTAGAAGACAGTTTCTATGGCTCCTTGTAACAATGTTTCAGGGTACTATTTTAATGCTGATGAACTCTGCTTTGAAGCTTGCAGATTTTTATAGGTAGTCCTTAAAGCCTTTTTTTTTTTAATAAAAACCAGTTTTGCTGACTCATCACTTTTGCTTAGTGTCTTTTGCAGCTTTGTCATTGCTAGTCTCTTGGTGGTCTCCGTGCAATGAGTACCAACCAGTTCAAGAGCTGGGAATGATTTGATCCATCCCCCTCCATGAGGTGTGTGCATCTCTTCTAGGACATCATTGGTAACACCCCAAGTGACAGGATTCTCACTATGTCATGATAGCCTTCTTGCATTTATAAGAGGTTCTAGTAGCTAGAAAGGCATTTTATGTTGAATTATATTCCTATAACTTCTATCTGTTTATTCTAAATTTGTTCCTTGGAGACAATTATTCCTTCCTTCAACAGTCATATGTTGAGTACCTACTCTATGCTAGGTGATAGGGCTGCACAGTTTTTTTAAATTAGCGGTCTCTGTCCTCAAGGATCTCAAGGCCAATGAACAGTGGTGGGAGTGGGTTAAGAATATAATACAAACATAACCAGATTTCACCAGGCCTCCAGACTATTGCTTTAAATAAACAGAGTCACATTAATAGTTATAATTTATATATTTGGCTACTTAGGCATTTATCCTATGTAGTATAGCATAAGACCCCTAGTCCCTTGTAAAAGCCATCCTTGAAGTATTACTGGAGTTTCTAAGATTTCTCTTTTTAGAGATAGGACCTCACTGTGTTTCCCAGGCAAGAGCGCAGTAGTGCAATCATAGTTCACTCTAAACCTTGAACTCATGGGCTTAAGTGACCCGCCCATCTCAACCTCCCAATTACCTAGGACTACAAGTACATGCTACCACACCTGGCTAATTTTTTTTTTAGACAGAGTTTTGCTCTTGTTGCCCAGGCTGGAGTGCAATGGCATGATCTTGACTCACTGCAACCTCCTCCTCCCAGATTCAAGTGATTCTCCTGCCTCAGCCTCCCAAGTAGCTGGGATTACAGGCATGCACTGCCATGCCCAACTAATTTTTGTATTTTTAGTCGAGACAAGGTTTCTCCATGTTGGTCAGGGTGGTCTTGAACTCTCGACCTCAGGTGATCCACCCTCCTCGGCCTCCCAAAGTGCTGGGATTACAGGCGTGAGCCACCATGCCTGGCTAATATTTAAGTTATTTTGTAGAGACAGGGATCTCACTGTGTTGCTCAGGCTGGTCTCAAATTCCTGGGCTTAAGGAATCCTCCTGCTTTGGCCTCCCAAAAGTGCTGACATGAGCCACCATGCCCTGCCTAAGACTTTTTTTAACTAATTTATTACTGACTCATTATTTCTTCCAAGTTGTCACCCATAAATTCTCTCCCTCTGGCTGTGACAGAGCAGTGTCCTATGATGTGGGCTTCCTTGCCCACTCCAGAATTCCCATGGGCATAACTGCACTCCTCATCAGAGCTGTGCCACAGCTCCCCAGCACTGTTTTAGATGCACTGGTGACCTTCACGAATCTGGGGAAGGCTGGATGATTTGTGCAGAAATGGGAAGAAGGCTTACTTTCTCTTCCAGGTGTCAGTCTGTTACCTGGTCCCTCAACAGCCCTGAGCGTACCCATTTTTTTACATGCCTTTAAATTCCTAAAGCTTTTGTTAGATGTTAACCTACAGAGATCAAGTGCACGTAGGGAGAGGAATGCACAAGAGAAAAAGTACAGGACAGAGTGCTTGAGTAGCCTGAATGTTAAACCTTTTATGAGGACACAGTACTTTCTCCGAGTTCCCTGGTAATGAGTATTGATGATTCCTGTCCTTTAGAGAACCAGTACACTCAAGGAATGATGAGATAATCTGGTACATTTTAGAACAATAGGGAGTTAGAACTAAAAGAGATTCTATTTCCAGAATGAATACTTTTTCACTAACTGGGAAAATACAGATATTTGCTTCATGAGCATATGGGAAGAAAAGGAGCCAGCTCTTAAGGTTGGTTAATATCAACAGAAA